GAGAAGAGAAGAGAAGAGAAGAGAAGAGAAGAGAAGAGAAGAGAAGAGAAGAGAAGAGAAGAGAAGAATCACTCAGTTTAGACCAAATCCTAACTCTTTTTCTCCCTTTTTTTTTTTCTGATCAAGGTGATTATATCAGTTCTAGCTTAAGCAGAGCCAGAAGAGAGTAACACAAGGATTGAATTTTGTTAAAGGCAGGCTATTCCTTGCTTGCATAAAGCAAACAGAATTTCTCTCCAAAAATTTCAGATCTTGATGGTATATTTAAACATTTGCGCTGACAGCAGAACCAGAAAAGAACATCTCTTGGTATAAATCCCAGATGGGTGAGATCCTGACTCAGTACAGCAGGTTATTTTATGACTTTTCCAATTATACCACAGGATAGATATTCTCAGACAGAATATGGAGACAAATTGTGCATCAGCAAAAACATACAAGCATCAAGGATGCTTGTGCACAGTTTTGCAGAGCTGAAAGTTACAATTCATGAGTTCAGATGCTCAAATACACAAATCTGTACCACATGCCTGATAGATTTTTCCTTTTTTTCCCCTTATCTGAGGCAACACTGAGCAAAAACCTAACAATATTTTCCATCAACATTTTCAAACTTCTGCCAGGTACATTTGTAAGGAGTGTTAACGCTGAGTAGATTTTAGTTTGTTTGGCATCTCTTGCCACCCTGATACACAAATATATATATATGCACGCTTACACGTATGTGCCAAGAAAACAGTAGCAATGGTTACATATTTATTTACTTCAGTAAGACTGTAAATTTTATAATGAGCGAGACAGTAATGGAATCAGTGTGATATTAATGTTATCTTCTTGCCAGGTTAAGTCAGTATGTGCACCGTTTATGCCAGATAAATAATTGTTCCTTAAATCCAAAAACATGTTACCCTGCAGCTGCTCCTACCCGATCCAGAATTTACTGGAATACATCTCATTATTATTTAGTAGAAGGTTTACAGCTTATGGTGTTTGAGAGTATTTTGATTGCGCGGTATGATCTTAAACAAAGAAATTTCAGGTAAGTCAAGTATGGGTTAAAAGTAAGAGAAAACAAGTCTGAGCAATTTGCTTTCTAGAAACACAGAGAACAAGTTGTAAATTACAAGGAGGTAAAATCTGTTGCATATAATTATTTCACTATATTAATTATTCATTGACACGACAACAGAGAGCGGCGTGGCGCTTTCCAGACAAAGCTATGTCTTGCTAGCAAACTGTGCACAATTTTAAAGGAAAGGCTCTCTTTCCACAGGCAGCACCATGGAGAGGAGATGGGTCAAATCCTGGTCTTTATATCAGATGGTAAACAGAAAAAGGAGCGACTGTGAGCAAAGATGCCAGCAAGTGGAAAGAAAGGCAGGTGTAACCACACTCAAAGATGAAATACTGGAACAGGTTGCCCAAGGAGGTTGTGGATGCCCCATCCCTGGAGGCATTCAAGGCCCGGCTGGATGTCACTCTGGGCAGCCTGGTCTGCTGGTTGGCAACCCTGCACGTAGCGGGGGGTTGGAACTTGATGGTCATTGTGGTCCTTTTCAACCCAGGCCATTCTATGATTCTGTGACTCTTTGATTCTAAGTTCTGAAGTTACACAGTAAAAATGAACTGCCTTGAACAGGGACAGGGAAATATTTGGGTAGCCAATACCTCTGCAAAATAGTACCTATGTACTATAGGAACTCATCTCTGTCATTCTTTTTCTAAGTATTAACCATCAGTCTAGGAGGCATAAAGATTTCTGAACTAAGTAAAATGTACTTGGTGTATTCAGTGCTGATGAAGCTTCAGCTGGACAAAATATGTCAATAAGGATATCAGCCCATCAGCACATGTAGATAGATGCAAGAGAAAGAGATCCTTAGAGATACAGAAAATTTAATAGTGAGAAAAAGAAATAAAAGTTAAGAGGTCCAATTAAGGCAAGAGATGCAGCTGCTCTTGAAGAAACTTCAGAAACTTGTTCCAGAAGCAAAAACTTTCACAAAACTCTTTAGAATAGCATAGTAGTGGAAACATCTGCAGTTATTTGAGACACCACAATGAGCAAAAGAAATATGATACCCTCTCTCATGGAAACTTCCAAACTTTTTTGCAATGATCTGAGCTCGTTTCCTGAGCAATGGACCTTCCTACAGGACAGAACTCTGGGCTGCCTGGTTTAGTATTTGTCGACCCTGCCCACGGCTGGGGGGTAGAAACCGGATGACCTTTGAGATCCTTTTCAACCCAGACCATTCCATGATTCTGTGATTCTATGAAGGGCTGTTCCTTTCAAACACACACCACATAGACTCTTCCTTCCTCCATACTCTGATCATATGTTAGAATGGAGAAATGATATTCTAAGCAAGTACAGCTCAGTGAGGGGAGGAAGAGGTATGTTTATGTTGCACTGAACATCACTGACAACATCAAACTTTTCCTTCCCATCAACACAGTGCTGCTGTGGGTGCTGTTGGAAGGATCAGTCCTTGCTCAATCACTCAGATGGTCTTGTGACGACTTGGTGTTGGAGATCTGCAATGCTGACAGTAGCTGAAGAAAAAAATGTCCTCAAAAAAAAAATGTAAATAATGTACTTCAGGAAGCTAACATTTCAACCCGGAGATCCCTACTCCTCTTGGTAGACTTTAATTTCTTTAGAGGTCTTTACAGACTATCTTTTGGTGCTGATACACAGGAAATTGTGAATTCATCAGTAGAACAACCCAACACATAATCAAGACAAACAAATGTGCCTGCTGTGTACATAAAGAAGGGAAAACTTCTATTGCTTCCTGATTTTGCCCACACAAATTATCCTGATACAAAGCAAGGAGAAAGAATACTGGAGCCAGTAGAGTCATCTAGTAGGTCACCTCGACAATTTCCTGCTATGGGTGTCATGTGAAATGAGCCTTTGAATGGTAAAAAGACTCTTTAAAGGACAACTGTTTATTCTTTAGCAATTATATGCCCAGAGTGAATATTGGTCGCACATCATGTGTTACCACAAGATACTGCACTAGATAAAACTGGAGATGGTGGTAGCTGTGCTGTTACAGCTACAGAGGTCTAAAGGCACTAGCAAGACAAGATTTAGATGAAGACATTATATCTGTTATTTTACAACTGATAGAGTTGGGAAATAAAAAGAAGGAAAGGAAACTTTCAGGCACACACCACCATCTTCAGGACTTTATCCAACTGTTTTCAATTACTTCCTCTTCTAGATAGAATTTTACCCTTCTACCTCAACCTTCTTGTTGATTTCAGCCAATACAGTCATTTTGAAAGGGAAAGAATGGGAGAGGAAAAATTACACTTTGTGCAGCAAACAACACATGGAGGAAGACCCCAGGCCTGCTTCTGCTTTATACTGAATCTCCTTGGCTACAG